GAACTCAGGATATTTGCTCTCTTTGTAAAAGACTTCTAAAGATAAAATTCAGAAGTTAAGACTTTAAACAAAGTCAGGACCTTTTGCACGTAGTCCAAAAACAATGAGCTAGATAAGGAGATAAGTTTTATCTTCTTCCTGAAACTGGCTAATGGGCAACCATCACAAACATTCAAACTATTTCATTCAATATGACATACATGTGCAATTAATGCTATTTAGACTTACTATGCAGTAATTTACTGTGCAGTAAGCCAGCCCTGGGAAGTTGTCTACATGTGCACCCTGTTGGGAGCAGATTTGCGTCTTATGGACATTTAAATATGTGCCCTGGGAGTGGGGAGGGGGGGGGGTTATTTAGTTAGAGTGACTCTGAGAGCCACTCTGATTAAAGCGTCCAAAGTGTCTCATGTCAGCATCCTTGTGCTTAAAAATGTCGGCAGGGTTGCTTTAAAACTTGTTCAACAAGCTTTTGTTAAAGCACCTTCACCACCATTTTTAAATGTGGGGACACTGATGCACAAGGTGCTAGAGTTTGCTGCAGTGCAGTAATTACCACACTCTAGCAAACTTCATTAATTGAACCTGCTCTGGCTCACTCTAATTACTGTGCGTTGGAGCAGCCTTGCTGCTTGTGTATAGGCAGCCTGTAGGATTAAGTAGATACAGGTCTACTCCTGCCCTGGTCTGACCTTCTGCAGCAGCCAGGGGGAGCTGCCGGCTCTGGATATAGCTGCCACGGTGCGGGGATCTCTGAGGGGAGCCGGGCTCAGCCTGGCAGGTGTCTCTGGGGGAGGGGGTGGGCTCAACCTGGCAGGGGTTTCCCCGGGGGAGGGGGAAGCAGGTGAGGGCTCAGCCTGGCAGGGGTTTCTGGGGACAGACTTAGGATGGCACCTGTTTCTTGGGTGGGGTGAAGGCTCAGGCTGTCAGGGGTCTCTGGGGTGGGTGGGGCAGACTCAGGCTGGCCAGGGGAGCTAGTCTGGCCAGGGATGCTGTCCTAGGAGCCTATGGCAAGTGCACCATGGGTTCTTCCCACCCTCCCTTCCCCTCCCCCCCAGCAACAGCAGACAGGGCACTATGTCTGCAAAGCACTTGTGGACCACCTCCTCCCCCACCCACTACAGTAGGGAAGCTGGGTGGCTGCCCACAAACCCCAAGCCCTCCAGCACCCCCAAGACCACACGTGCTCTGGATAATTTCCAATCAACAATCTTTATTTTCCTCCCCAACAACACATTCCTTCCTGCTCTCCCTCCCCAGCAAGAGCCCCCTCCCCAGCTGCAACACCCACCACCCATAAAACACCCTCTTCCCTGTGCAACTGTTTACAAGTGTGTGGTTGATGTAGTGTCAGGGTGGAATCTTTGGGATGGAGACATCTATGGTGCAGAGCCCGGGTAGAAGTGCTGAGCACCTTGGTCTCTGGTGATACCACCCAGATGCAGACACCATGGCAAGGCTGGCAGCCCAGGGGCTTGGCCAAGGGTGAGGGCAGGCACTGTCTAGCCTGCTCTACCTCCTTCTCCCTCATGAGGCTGGATCCAGTGAGTGCCATCTCCCCTGCTCAGGGGCCACATGGCAGACGGGTCACCCGTGGGTGGCAGCCCAGGCAGGCAGTCTAGCTGCTGGGTGACCTGGCTCAGGAGCAGGGGCAGAAGGCCCTGGCCACTGCAGGAGTGGCTGGATCTTCTCCTAGGCCCACTGGGGACATTGGCACGAGGCCACAGGTGGCTGCCAGGCAGCAGGAAGGGCCAGAGCCAGGGCCAGGGCTGGTGGTGGATGGTTTCCAGATGGCAGATGGGGCCAGAACCGGCAGCTTGGCAGTGGATGACATGAAGGTGAATGCCAGGGTCAGGATGGTGTCCAGCACCTGGTGCTCCTCCTGCGTGACCTCTGCTGCCTGGGCTACCACAGCAGCCTGCTTCTTCTGCACCTCCAGCATCCTCTTGAGGGGGCCAGTGTGCTTCTCCTCAATCAAAGCTTGTTCCAGAAGGCACAGTTCTCCGAGCGCAATGGCCTGTGGGACTGCTGGAGCCAACACATGCCCTCAGAGCTGGGCATGGTGCCCACAGGCCAGGGAGCAGCCAGAGAAGCCTGGGGGTCCGGCTGGGGCTCTGCAGCAGTGCAGCAACCAGCATGTGCTCACTCCATGAGCACACAGTGGCCAGGGGCAGGCATCAGCTGGCCTAGGTCCCCGGGGGTCAAGCCAGGGGTCCAAAGGCTAGCCAGGGACTGCTAAAGAGCTGTCTCTGCCCTATAACTGGAGGGACTCCCAGTCACGTTGCGCTGCCTCTGGCAGAAAGCTGCCCCCCTGCTGTTTTGGCTGACCGGGAGCAAATCTACTCCTGGTTGGCATTTACACATGCACTACTGAGTATTAGCTAATGCACAGTAAATCTACTATCTGCAACGCGCAGTAAATCTACCCCCACCTTAAATAGTGATGCTTTACTATGCAGTAGATTAGTCTATTGAGCAGTAAAGTGTAGGTATGCCGACTGAGATGTGTTCCTAGACCTCCCACCCCCTCTCTCTCCCCCTCACTTCCTCCCTGACTGCACAGCGTCAGCACTGCAAGCTCTCTAGTTTGGAGGGCCTCAGTATGCAAATATATGTGTGCGTGGCTCTAGGTAAGTTTGTGCCATAACAACAAACCTGGGAGAATGCTTCCACATTATTTGAATATTTGTATGCAGACTGAGTAGCAGCCCTGGGGGTTGTAATGATTTCATAAGATATTACTAGATGAAGATTAGTATTTAGGTTTGACTTCCTAGGTTAGAAAGGTTTGGGAGTAGGAGAGTTAAAAATCTTCAAAACTTTTAATTTTGACAGAAGCAAGGGCAGCAATATTATGAATGCTACCTTCCCCCCCACCCCCCCAATCCCCCCCCTCTTCTTCCAAACCTTGTTATCTGGGTGTGCTGGAGAGTGGCAGCTGGAGATGGCTGCACTTCACACCTTTTCCTAACAGACTTCCTGACTGTTGAAAATGATTGTTTTTAGTAGGAATTACATTTGACCCAGCTCTACTAGGAGCACCGTCTTGACAGCAGGCCCTTAAAAATGGGGCAGGTAAAAGGGAGGAATTTTGGGAATTGGAGAATTATCAAGGATATCCACTAACCCTGGCAAAGAAATGACTAGTTAATGTATGTTTGCTTATTCTCCTTTTCCCCTTCAGGAATGTTTCGAAAGGAAGAAGAACTGACTCCATCACAGAGATGCTTGGCTGTAAGGTAAGTTTTCTTAGGTTTACATGAGACCAGTTTCTATTTTGATGTAATATCACGTAATATTTAAGACTGGTGATAGCCTAACTGGATCTCTTTTAGTTTGTGTGCTGGACCTTTGTAATTTAATTGCATTTTTGCATTTGTAAAATATCCGTTGAAATAGACGTTATATTTTACTTACAAAGCTTTTATTAAAACAGACCGTATCCGTTCTGTTTTGTTCTTCACAATGGCAAATAGAATTACACCCTCTGTGTGAGGCAGTTGATAATGGCATAGTATGGGAGACTGACATTTTATAAAGAAAATAAATGTATAAAAGAACTTGTCTTTTTTATTACTATTTTTAGGATTATTTTTTCTGTCTGGTTGCTTTATTTGGTTTAAATGTCAGTGCCCAATTTATGCTGTGATGTGTACTCAACCAAGAGTTCACAAATGCTTAGGGCTGCAAACAGATGCCTTGTTTGAGGCGGCCCTGTCTCTCCATGGTTTCAACCTGCATCCAAATGGGAGTGTCATAGCAATTTGCACATGTAGACCTTCCAAGCTGCTCCTCTGCCAGCAGGTAGCCAGGAAGAGCACGCAGCCTGAAAGGCTCGTCCCTGGAATGGGTTGTACAAATCTTACAGACATATATCTCAGTGACCTGGGAAAAGCATTAGCAGGCTTTATCCTGCATACATCACACATACTCAAAGCAGAACAGTGGATTGTATATCTAAGGTCCCAAGACAAAAGGCTTTTTCTTGGAAGAAACGTTATAGTCTAAATCAGCGGAGGAGCCCAAACTTTTGGCCCAGCAGGCTGGATGAGTGGTACAGGGTGGGCCTGTGAGCCAGATCCAGTGTACACAGAGCCAAGGCCTGATCCCACACATTCTGGATTGGATCCTGGTCTCGCAAGCCATATTGGGGAAAACGCTT